CTGCGGCACATCACTAATTTGTGCATGGCGCATGGCGCACCGCAGAAGTGCGCCGCAACTATGGTTTATGGATATTGGCAAGGGGTCAATCCGGTGGCAGGTTTCCCTACAACTACATTGTTACGACTTCAAAGATGCTGTGAGCTTCAAGTCTTCATTCATTGATTTATCATAAAGACGATGTCGAGCAAAAGAAATTACCATGGCCTGATGGGCAGTGTGTACGAGGCATGAGCAAGTATTTACCAGGACATGCTAACCCACAAATACTATTGATACTAACTTATCCAAGATCTTTTTCTATTTCCATACCAAGTTTTGCTTATCCTATGGACAAAGTAGACAAAATGTTAGTAAGAACCATACTTGGAAACAAGACCTCGTAGGTATTGGTACGGTCACCATACAACAGACTATACACTGGGGTTTACTGGTGCAATATCAAGAGGTCCGTGGGCTCTTGGGATTTGCGAAAAGCTGTATGCCATGATGTTTTCGACATGTGACAAAGCAGACTCTTAACTTTCCAAAATTTGAACTCAGTGACCCATGGTTTCCTTCGTTCCTTGCTTCCCCCAATTCCCTTTTGTTCTTCCTCCTCATGCTAAGCTACTGCATCTCAACTCTACCTGGCCCATTGACCACCATTTGACTGTAAACCTACAATTCTAAACCGTAAACCCTAACAATCATGATTTATTAGGAAAAGGACCCATGGTGGAGCACTCAATGGACATTTAGCAACATGTTTCTTAAGCCTTAAATACCCAACCCTAACCCCCAACATCCATGACTGTTATACCGCGTCAAACGCGGGGATGCAGCCATTCGGGTAGCATGCTTTATGTTCTGGACAGTAAGCTTGGCAAAGGTCTTATGAAGTCGGGGATGGGCAGCCTTCTGGACGGTAGTGTCCAAAGCCAACTCTCCCCCACACACCACACGCAACCCACTCACACCCCTGTTGGCTGAAGACCTTACTGTTACCGACTGGGAGGATCCAGCTCACTATCTCAGTTGGATGGCACCAAGAGTGCCACAGGCGGCCGTGGGGATTGAACCCACAACCTCCTCAATGCCACTTGCGTGCCTAACCAATTGAGCTAGGACGCTGGATGGAGCCCAGATTCTTCTATCGTAGGGAAAAAAAAAAAAAAAAAAAAACTGAAAAACGAATAGCAGCCTACTGAGGGCTGTACCACCCCACACGCGGCCAGGAAAAAGGGCATTTCAAGCTCTAAACTACTAGCAGTGTTTCTACCCATGTTCTACCAGAAGATTCATGCTCATTTTGCTCATTTGGTCAGTAGTGGAGCAAGCAAGGCCCACGATCTCCACAGCTCTCGTGGCAAAGGTAAGTACGCTTTTTCTTCTTTTTTTTCCCGAAAGTCAGTACGTACGTTTTTTCTTTTCTTTTATTTTCTTTAGTAAGCCCTGCCAGTCGGTTCTAGATTTTGTTACCTAGGCTTAGTAAACATCAGAATGCTTCGATACTGTATTTCTGGGAAGATGCAGTAGAAAAAACAAAACAAAAGCGGAAACAACCCTGACCCAAATCGCCCGCCCAGACCCATATCGCCCACCCCCAGTTTGCAACGGGAAAAAACTCTATCCCTCAAAAGGGAAACAATGGACGACACCCTATACTAAATTGCAACGACCTTGACAAGCTAACCTGCCCTACGACCGGTCTTAGGGACGACTGCAACCGGACCCTATTTTCTGCTGTCGGAGACCCCAAACGAACCCATCCTAGCGAAGTTGTACTGCACGACCTTACCGAAAATAGAAAGAAATGAAACGACGAAAATGAAACCCACACAAGCGCAGCCTCGTGGCTGCGAATTTATTAGGAAAAACCTGACCCGCAGCTACCTCCATAAGGCGGTGGAGAGTTCCAGGGCCATTAAGCAACACACCTACTTCCCCCAACCACCACCAGCGAGGGCAATTGCAGAGAAAATCTCACCCATGGACACCTCGATAAGGTGGTATCGTGGGCTTAAAGGCAGGCCGATCAGGGACACACCTGTCCCTGTAACCCATCCAAGACACATATCCCATTTTTCACCTCACAACCAAGTCCTGCAAATAACTTCCACTTCATGCTACGGTTTATCTTTCAGGACTGAATCATCACCTTTCCTGCGTGCCTCACCCAAGCTGATTGTCCTCATGGTTCAACATATCAAACAAAGGAATCCATATAAAACGCAAAGGAACCATGTCCGGGAACTTTACTCTCACGTCGTCTAGACGCACATCGAGTTTATGCTGAGGAAGTCATAGTCAGCTATGAAGCTCTTTTTTTTTTTAAGGCCCTTGTGCAAGACCTCTATCCTGGTGGTGGTAAGAGAACCACCGGGATTGAGGCTTTGCCTGGCGGGCCACTCCATCTATTGGTGGGAAGCAGCACCTGCTGGAAACCGGGTCCAGCGTCCCTTAAATACATCTTTGCAGAGCAATACATTCATGCGGATGACGCCAATGTGCTGGAAACCAGGTCCAGCGTCCCGTGTCCAGTCTGCTCTCCCGTACCTCACCTGCAGTAGGGTTGGGTATTGGGGGGGGACCACCGGGGGGCACCAGTGGGATCTCCTTCCATCCCCTAGCCTCTGCCATCCTCCTACTGTCCTCATGGCGCCTATTGCGTCTTTTTTTTTTTTTTGACGAACATCATATCCTTTTTTTTTTTGGAAGCAATACATCATTGGAAGTGACGCCGTTGTGCTGGAAACCGGGTCCAGCGTCCCATAGCGGAACTCTACCCAGATCTAGCCTTTGCCTGCAGCATCGTCGGGGACTGGGGGGRGACCCACYGGGGGSCACCGGTGGGTGCTCCCTCCCTCCCCTAATTCCTGCCGCCCTCCTATCCCAGCGTCCTCTGTACAACATATCGAAACTAGGGTGTCCAAGTAACAGTGAGACTTGTGGAATCAATCATGCAACAAAAACTCAGAGAAAACAGTCTGACCAAGTCTAAGGTGAGCCAGCTATGAAGCTCACTGCCACCCATTTTCAAAAAAGATGAGATTCACCAGATCATTGTGATACTTCCCTCTGTTTTTGTTTGCAAAATACCATTCGACTGCTTATAAATTCATTCGCCTGCAATCTACCATGTTGACAGAAGATACCATACCTTCAAAATCTTGTTTGAGGTCGCGAGCAACCGATGGATTTCCAAGCCACCCTCTGTTATATCATTGTTCCTTGAAGTGGTCAGTGTTTTGTGGCTCTCCGTGAAGTCTTCAACACTGTACACTTTTCCCTCTTTTCGATCAATAAGCAGATGTGTTGCCCACCTGTTGTTCCCAGTAATTCATCCAGGGACGAGCAGGGAGGTAAGAGGATCAGAGGAGCACGTTATCAGAATGCAGGCAACACGTACATGGCTACAAGCCAGTGGAAGATATATATTATGTCAAAATGTGGGCCACAACTTCAAGCCATCACAAGTTTTCCTGATAGCATGCACAAGCACCCGGTTCGACAGCCTTACTTCGACGGTGGGCAAGGATATATTGGTTGAAATACACAGTACACTTTATCCTGCATGCATATTACACCCACCACAGTGGGACTATCCAGGGTGGAAAGGGCTCTTCATAGAACTGCCTCAGATGCCAGATGTTGGAGTCTGTGCTTTGCACAGACAAGGCCAACTCCTTGACCCCCACACACTTTCTAACTAATGGAGAAGTGAAGCGCATCAGTGGCTGCACGTGGCCTATAGTCTGGTGATTGGACCAGACACCATGTTTACGGAACAAATACTAATGTCCTCAACATTGCTACAATCCCGATGTCCAAATTGCCATCCAGATGATCTGGACCCATGCATGCATCCGTACATCCAGTCTGAAAGGTCCGGATCAAGGTCAAATTGAAAAAAAGAGAAGTGGGTCGGCCAGGACTCTTCCCAACATCGAGGCCCACCCCCCAAAATTGTTTGGAGAGTTTTACGGCCCTTCCTTTTTTTTTTTTTTGAGGCCGGACATGGACAAAAGTGCGTTTGTGTGAGAGTTTTTTTCTTTTTTTCCCGGTCCTGGCTCCTTTTCCATTCTGGGGAGCATCAGTCCGGTTCCTATTCCCCTGGCATCGAGAATGAATACATGGCAAGTCGAGAATGAATACATCAATCTACACGCTCACGCTTCCTTCCGTATGGCCGAAGGACCCCTGACCAGCATTGATTGCTCCTTGAAGGAGGATTGACTGTCAGCTTGCGTGTCCCTTAGTTCCCTCTCAGATTCCATATTGAACACTGCCAGATACTACAAATAAGGCAAGGAGAAGGGAGATAAGCTGCTGATTGGATCCTGGTCTGCCTCTTATGCCTCTGGAGCCCCCCATTGGTACATTCTGCAGCTCACTGAGTGTTTCACCCGACAGCAGACAGCCGCTTGCTGAGTGGTTCCCAGGGGGTCTCGCGTAACCCTGAGATCTTGTTGCTCCTTCTGGAAGGAGCCCCTCGTTCCTCAGGGCGTAGCTGAATTGTGCCAGTCTTTCCATCTAATTTGTAAGGTGTGAATGTCCGCTATCTTTCCCTGGACCAGCCACACCCTCCTGAACTTAGCTATCGTTTCCTGTTGTTTGTCCGGGTCCTGCTGAATTTGAAGCTTGACCTTCTTCCATTGGCACCGGATGTCAGTCTCCATGAGGATTTTCGTTGATGCCCATACTTGTTCCAACGGCATGCTGGAGTTGTCAATGGTCCGACTGCACCTCTCCTTCCATATGACCCATAGTGTCACCTTTCTGATTATCCCGAACCAGATGCGCTCCGACTTGTTGAATTGGGAGGGGATGTTAGTCCATAGGAGTAGCTGGATGGGGTGTTCAGGTAACGGAGAAGGAAATAGGTGGTCCCAGAGTGCTGTGTAGCAGGTCCTCTTGTTCTTTATCTGAGCACCATTGAAGACTTCTGATTTTGACTGGGCGAATTGATTTGTATTTCCTCCAGGGGAATTTGGGGATTGGTTCCATTTTCTGACCTAGCAACTTGGTCCATCTTTCCTTGATAACCAGCTCCGGGTCCTTCGTTTTTAGTAGCATCATATATCCTATTTTGACTGTGTACTGCGTTATCAAGATGGGTGTTTTGCAAAATCTGTTACTACTCAAGAGCCAAGCCCATTCTTCTGGGTCAAATTCTAGGTTCTGGATTGGTGTTTCAGCTTGGAATATTGTTTTTGGCCACATCCCCAAAACTCTTACTTTTCGAAGTGTGTACGAATTGAGGGTTGCTTCTTGTGGGTCAACGTTGTTGATGGTGAGAGTTTTGGGATTGGAGCGGTCTATAGGGAAGGAGGTGAAAACTGCCGATAGGTCAGCACCCAAGGCTCTGCGAGTTGATAAGCTTTCTCCGGTATAGCTTACTGAATTAAGACTCCCCATTCCCCCACTTTCCATGTGAATTTTTCCTTTAGAAGATTTTTCCAACCATCTGGGATGCTATTAACCACAGTAGTCAGATTTTCGTCTCTGTTGTGGCATCCTTTCAGGCGTTGCCTTAATTGATCTTCATCTACCCATTCTTTCCTCTCTTCGTCCCATATGTGTGCCACCCTCCAGATTGTTTTTTTAACTTTTTTTTAATATCTTTGAGTTGTGAAGTTGTTTCGGAATCTCTGTGTCTATTTTTTTTAGTATATTACCTATTAGACTATTATCAACTAATATTAAGTACATGTAGGTCTGTTCGCCCCTGTGTTTTGGATTTTATGTTCCTACTTTTGTTGTACTACCTTGGGGCCTGGGTACTGGGCCCTGTCTATTTTTTTTCAGGTGTAATGCCCTGCAAAATCGTAGACTGGGAAACTTGCTGTTTTCTGAGTTTGCCGCTTGTTTGAGTGACTTGCTGAGATTCCCGTATTGTGCTGAGATTTCTAAGTTTGCGCGTGTGCGTGATTGCTGATTTCCCGAGTGTTTGCATCATTGCATGGGTGTGTGTGTGACCCGCTGGGATACTTGTTTGCAGAGAAGGCCCCACGGGCCTGGTATTTACCTGTGGCCTTGTTGTTGTGAGGGTGCAGCGGGGTATTAGCGTAGGGATAGGTCCGCAAAGGCCAAAACACTTAGTAGCGGGTAGGTTGGCAGAAGAAGACAAAACGTTTATACCTTGAAGGCCGGCGTAGAATTTACCAAGTAGCCTGAGTCTAGAGCCTGCAGGAGGGGATATCAGACTGCAGTGATGTTTCCCTCCAAGTAGCAGAGGTATTGGGTAGCCTTGGAGGCAGACCAGCCCGGAAGCGACCACGCGGCACTAGTCTGGTATATCAAGGGAAGCAGCAAAGAGCCCTTCCTCATTTGCGGGCATGCAGCTTGGAGGCACGCTCCTGGACAGACCACCCAGCTGAGCAGCACTTGGTGAGGAAGACGCGGGCTTGGGCCTCCACCACAGCTATGGTGCAGAGGGCCAGGAGGAGACTTGTACATTCTGCATTACACACGGGCCATGCCAGGGCCGACGAAAGGACCGAGGGGCTACCTAGGGCCTGGACACGGTAGTCTAGGCCGGTCCGGCCCAAAGGACAGACCCCTTCTTTTCCAGGCCGCCCCGTAGGCCCTTAGACAGGCCCAACGGGGACCGGTCCAAACGGCATTACCATTTGGACCTGGCGGACGACTTTGAGACTGCCCTCCCCGGGTCTGATCTGAACCGCAGATCGGATACGAAATCTGACGGTTCAGATCACGAGGCACTCGCAGCCTCAAGGCCGTACAGGCCACCGCCGGTACTTAGGACCGACCGGCGGTCTGTTCAGGACCTTTTTCGTTTGGGTCCACCTTCTGGAGGAACGGCAGCAGTTGAGGAGCAGCGCTGCGCTAAATTTGGATTAGCGCAGCTCCGAGCACAGCAGCGCTAATTAGCGCTGATTGGCGATTAGAGGTGGTAGACGGGCACTTACCGGCTTACCTGCACAGCGCCATAGCTCCAGGTTGAAGCCGCGGGTCTTCAACAGCTCCAAGGCGCCTCCTTGCACCTGCAGGTAAGGGCCTGGGTACGGGATCCGGGAGTGAAGACTCTCCTCCTCCCTACTTCGCCATCTCCGCCTCTCCTCTGCCCTTCCCAGATCTTCTTCTTCTTCTTCTTCTTCTTCTTCTTCTTCCTCTTCTTCTTCTTCTTCTTCTTCTTCTTCTTCAGACTTCTTCTTCTTCTTCTTCTTCTTCTCAGACTGGAGACTATTGATACGAGTTGGACAGAGATCAGTGATTGGACTTCGGTGGTAGGAGGATGTGATACTTACCAGATTTGAGACATTGGAGATAGTTGGGATCGATACCTGGCGGCATCACAGATCGGACATCGGTTACATTTGGATTCTGTACCTCCGACATTGGTGACTTATGTCAACGACATTCTGATTTTGTTCGGTGACATTTTGGGCTACTATCTCGGTGACATTTTGGATTCTATGTCGGTGACATTTGGCACTGTCCCTATCTCCCACCTCCATCGTCTCTGGACTTCGGTGGTAGGAGGATGTGATACTTACCAGATTCGAGACATTGGAGATAGTTGGGATCGATACCTGGCCGCATCACAGATCGGACATCGGTTACATTCGGATTCTGTACCTCCAACATTGGTGACTTATGTCAACAACATTCTGATTTTGTTCGGTGACATTTTGGGCTACTATCTCGGTGACATTTTGGATTCTATGTCATTGACATTTGGCACTGTCCCTATCTCCCACCTCCATCGTCTCTCCTCCCACCATTCATCTGTGTATGGGTGCACGGGGCTGAAGCATCATCTATGTATGGCTTCAGAACCCACCATCTCACTATTGCTTGTGTGTTGAGTGATGTCCAGGTGAGTTCAGTCTATGTGGGTCAGTCCATATCTCAGACTTCCGCTGCATCTATGCTCATCCTATATTGGTTGATCTTTGGTTCTGCCAATACTTAGGGAATGTATTCACTAATATGCAACAAGGCTCCCAGGGAGGAGGAGGAGGAAGACAGTGAGTACGGAGGAGAGTGACGGGGGAGCTTACCTGTCTATGGTGGTCTGCATCTTCATCTTCTTGGTTGGCGATGCACCTGGAAGGCCCTAGTTGGGGTTGGCACCGACAAGGAAGACTCCGAGAGTAGTGCTAGGCTGGACACAATAGCCTTGCATTGCCCTTTGAACATTGGAGATTCACTCCCACAGTCCGCCATAGCCACCTGCTCGACCAACTAGGAGGAAGATGTATGACATGGCTATGGTGGACTTCTTGAGTGGTTGGCAGGAAGGGGAGGATTCTATTATTATTATTATTATTATTATTATAATGAAGGGTTGGGTGAC